TCAATAACAAGGGCAATAACGTTGTTCATATCGGGGCATAGCTCTTTCCGACGTGCTTTTATGCAAGGAACTTAGCTACATCAGATCAGTGTGTACGTGTAGAAAGAGGCAGCCCTGAATACTACATATTTAAATGCTCCCTCACAGTTGAACAACATCTAAAACTTCAGAACTCCGAAAGGAAAATAAATCCTTTTACAAGATCTACCATTAAGAACAAATATCGCAAAAAGGAAATCATAAATATAATGAGCTTCCTATCCACAAGAGAGACAGAGCTTTGTAACACAGCAACGCTTGGCTGGTCCCCTTGTGGGCCCTGTGAAGGGCAGTTATCTCTTATAATTAGTGCGGCTAGACAATACTTATATAGCCTATCGTTAAACAATAGATGTCCACTACACTTCACCATATCCATATCTATATGCACGTAGAATAAAATTATTTCCTTTTATATACAATTAATTTTTAAAAGATATCAGTTTTGTAAATAATCGAATCGCAGCTTCTGATTACAAAAAACAACTTTCAATTAATTTTGGCAGAATAATGCAGTTTGAAAATATCATCTGTCTTGATACCTGTGTTTTAATTTTTCACTGCAGTCTAGCCCTGTTTCTTGAGTTACGATAATTACGAGAAACATTTGAAATATTTTCATTCAAATGAGCACACTTTATGTATAATAAAATCTGTACTTTAGCACATTACAGAGTAACGTCAGTGCTGGACTCGTATACTAACGGAAACCCATAGGCACTCCAGCTGTTACGTACTTAGATAACTGAAATTTTGAAGACGTACAAAAAACCAGAACTATCTGTTCTATATGAGTGATCAAATGCGTCATCATAATGTTTGCTGTAATGAAATAGAATAGTACATCACGAATTCACACTAATTACTTTCATTTCATCTGTAGATTATGTTATTTCTTTTGTAATTTAAAACTGTTTCGAAAGATTGCAAAGACTTATTTAGTTTTAAACTAATCAGTTTTTTTTTTTTCAGTTACGTATCTTTTCTATATTCCCTCATTTCCATTTCCTGCCAGAATGATATTTCAATTTCGCGTGTTATGCAAAGTAGGATAGAAAGATACTATTTAGGCTGGCGTCTGAGTTACTTCAGACAGAGCGTGTTCTGCGTTCAGCCACTTTGTTTCGCTGATTTAAGCTTGCTGTTTTACGGCCATGTATAGTTTAATTGCCAGTTTGTGTACGTTGGTGTTAGGGATAAGAGTCAACTCGCGTTAATTATATTTGTGCAGCTTCGGCTGATTTTTTAACTTAGTTTTAGTTTTATATTTCTATTTCTAGTTGCAGCCGAAAGTATTTACTAAGTTTGTAAGGACCAGAGGTCTATAAATCTTTTAGTGAGTTAAATAACAGGATCTTTTCACCCTTGTCATATCTTGTCATTGATACAGTTGAAATTAGCAAACAGTCGCTTCATAGTTCAAGTAAAGATCTAGCCAGAAAATTAATTTAGCTAGAATCTTACAAGGTGTTTACTGGGAAAATTTTTATAAACGGCAAAATACGGCTTCAATTGATTCTGCTTTTAAACGAAAATAAAGACTTGATATATACTAGTCGTTAAAAGTTAAATTAACTTCTGCCTCTAATACCTGTTTATTTTGAAAAATTTCGAAACGTAATTTATTCAGAAATTAAGCAATTAAATAGTAAAAGTTTCTACGGTATGATTAAACCAAAAATACAGGTTATTCCTTTATCGGCTTTTTCCATCTTAGACATTCGACAATAGATTCAGAAAACTTAATGACTGGAATTTCATTATCATTTTTAGTCTCTAATACTTCTCTTTAACGAATAAATAGAAGTAATTTTCATAAAATATAATGTCGATTCTCTCAGCTTTATTACTCAAATTGACAATTCTCCCATTATTTAGTCTGAAATAAGGTTTATGAACATGAGCATAAATTTGGATCTCACTAAAATGTTCAATACTTCAGCGCCAATTTTAGATAATGCAAGTTATAAATTATATACTCAATTGTATTATGCAGAAATATATAAAATATCATTATTTTAGATTATATAATAATTTTAAAAAAAATTAATATTTTTACAAAATTTAATCGGATTTTGTAAAGCCATATAATCAAAGTATGGAATGCCTCTCGAGAGCACATCTTATAAAATTTATACCTTGCATTACTGGTATGTCTATAATTTTAAACGATGGCTGACAAATATGAATATACACAGTAGAAGAAGTCACCGTTTATACGCGAATTTACCGCAATTAGTGGTACCTTTGTGTAAAACGTAATATCGCGCATCCCACCAAACTCATAACTGGGCGAAAAATGTAATAATGCATATCTAGCAAAAGGCAGTCATTCATGTGAAAACATACTAACTTGCTTATCCAAGAAATGTGTTAACCTCAAATAGTCAGATTATCTGCCTGGCAGTTTCCTCGCAAGTGCGTAACTTACATTTACCGCAATTAGTGGTAACTTTGTGTAAAACGTAATATCGCGCATCCCACCAAACTCATAACTGGGCGAAAAATGTAATAATGCATATCTAGCAAAAGGCAGTAATTTATGTGAAAACATACTAACTTGCTTATCCAAGAAATGTGTTAACCTCAAATAGTCAGATTATCTGCCTGGCAGTTTCCTCGCAAGTGCGTAACTTACATCAGATAGAGAATGATACAGGGTGTCCGTAATTTTGTAGAGACATTAGGTCAAGAGGAAATATTAGCAAACCCCTTCGTCGGGAATCGAACTACGGACCTCTGGAATACCGGCCAGTGTGCAGACCACCACACCACGAAGGCTTGCCTAGAAGGTGGGAGAAATACCTTATAATTTATTCACCAGATGTTTTAAATAATACAGAATAAGAGATGGAGAAAAAAGACTGACTGAATTTAATTTTTTACTTCAAAGACTTTGATCTCTATGCATTTCAGCATGAGCACTGTTAGTTTCTTGGAGTATATAAAGGCTGTTCTCGATTTCTCTCCAGACTTTATTATGCATTTGCGGAGTCGCAAAAGCGGATTCTGCAATGAATCGATTTTTTAAATCTTAGATGCTGCGAATCTGTGCAGCCTAAACTCGGTTCTTCAGGTCTCTCCAGAATGAGAAAGGTCGAATGGTGTGACGTCCAGAAAACGGGGTGGCCATGAAATTCGTCCACCTCTGCCAATCGAACGATCTGAGAATATTTCATCGATGACATGTTTACATGTGTAGCTAAATGACAGGGGGGCCTCATCCTGCTAAAAAGAGGTTGGCTGCGTTTCTTAACGCAGAACCGAAAACAATCTCAGCATATCGAAGCAATCATCTGAATTAATTGATGACTCTGAGTAAATAACGGACTAATCAACTTTTTTTATGAATTAGTGCGCATCAAACGCTAACTTCAGGACAACCTCACTCAATTTCCGTTGCAAAATGTAAGTTTTCTAACACCCAAATAATAATAATAATAAATTCCATTGTTCTCTCCTCAAACTTAAAATATTGCTTTATCACTGAATACGATTTCTGAAGGAACTTATCTTTATCACTGACACAGTTAAGAATATTATATAAAACGTTCCTTACGAATGAATGATTTGATCATTTGGTTTGATTTGTTCACAAATGTGCAATTTATACGCGGTCAGTTTCAGTCATCCATAAACAACTTTATAAACAGTTGACCTTGTTTGCAGGCTGGCATAGCGAATAGATTTATTGGAACTACACACAAACATGTCTCGAATGGCGAAATTATTTTCATCACTAACACTTTACCTATCTGCACTTCCTTACCTATCTGCAAAACACGTCCGGTCTCTAGAAACTGTTTTAACTATCTTTTAATTGATTGTTCGATTGTTGGAGGTTTCCACTAAACTATTTTCGAATATTCCTTTTCCTATAAACAGAGAACGAACATTGCTCTTACAACCCCATTTTGTCTATAAACAAGCAGATTCCTCGCTGCCATTCCCAAAAATTAAATCAAACAAAATTCCTTGAACTAAAGATTACATCGATTATGTATTAATGGATGATGGATTATTAGACTATTGATTATGACTCTGAAGATTACATTGATTATCGATTATTAAATTATGGACACCTTGTACATGCTGTAATCAAAGATTTGAAGTTTTATTACCATTTAAAAACCCAAAACTGAGAGAGAAATTTAAATTTTTGCTAATTAGGAAAAGAAATATTTTAAATCTTCTAACTGAAAGTTTTTGGATTCACTTATTATTATTATTTATTAAAGTGGCTTCATTTCCTTTACCTTTATTATCAGTTCTGAAGTGATTAAATATATGTAACTCTAAATTCTAGGAAGTCTAATAGAAGAAGTGCACATCCGTTGACTTGAAACAAGTTAATCTGTTATACACGTTATGTAATTAATTCAAAATTAATCGCGCAGTATCCAGTATTAGAGGCCTGATACAAATGTCAGTTTTTTTTTGTTTTTGTTTTAAGGAGCAGGAGTAATTTATGGTTTGATTTCCTTTCTTGTTGCAGGCCCTTTTTGTTAAAATAAAATGTAAAGCATCAGTTGCGTATCAGTATCCCTAGTATCAGTATTCCTTCAAAACACAATAAATTTTTTCATGCTTTCTTAGACAATATTATTACGTATAGTACAGGCCTTAAATTCAGAAAAATTCCAATGAAGCCCGGCTCAGGTTTTGAGCTAATCTGTAATTCTAACTCCCGCCTTAATTTGAGTTATAATACTTTGTGGCATAACCGGTTCGCAATATTGTTAAGAAATTTATCACAGTAACTGATTTTACTGATAATTTCATTTACTTCTTTGAATTTAATCTAATTGCTCGTTGTTTATTTTATTATTTATTTATAATTGTTCATTGTTTTTAATAGCCTTCTATTGGGTTGTGGCACTTAGTTTAGAAACTAAGCACTAGAGTATTTTAAATAACATTTCAATATTTTAACTGTTATACTAACAGTTTCACGTACTCACGGTGTACACATTGGTTGCACATAGGACTGGTTCATGATGATACCATTTTTTGCCAGCTCGTCAATGTGAGGTGTTTGCATTTCAGGGTTATTCCATCCAACATCATTCCAGCCTATAAAAAAAGTAGTTAACCTTGTTTATAGATATTTTGTTGATAAGATATATTATTTCAAAACTGCGAGCAGGAAAAAGATATTGCAAATATGATGCTGGTAATGGAAATGTGGGTTTCAACACATCATATTACCAAAATATTTTTTCATTTATAAAAAAAGGAAATTCTTTCATCCATGAGCTTAAACCAAAATTGTGTTGTGATAGTAATAATTTACCGTAAGCAGGGAATATGAGTACAAATTATAATAAAATGCTGCCTTATAAAAACATATTTAGAACAAAAAATAACACTGAAAGAAAAAAGGCCTGACGAAGAAATCACTTGCGGCATAGCTCTGGAGAATAATGAAAACTGCAATGGTGCTGAGTATGACGATGAAACATCTTTGTTGTAGTCTTGGTTTATTTTGATTATGGAAAGGTACACGACACCTCTGTGTCTAAATTGAGGGATGCCTTCTGAGAAGACTGTTTAAAGAAAATTGCCTCATATGGGAAAAGCCATGAAAATGGCCATGCGAGTAAACCATTCATCACTATCTGAAATCAGGTCGAACTACCAATATTCAGTAATTTTACAGTTCGCTTCCTAATAGGCTCTGAAACCTTGAGCAAAGCTCTTTAATATTTAAGGAAACGTCTTTATGTTTCTCCTATGAATTTTTCGTCAACCCAAAACTAGCATGATCGTCAGGTAGTTGATAAAGTACAAACTATCTCAAAAAGAGTTAACTTAAAAAAATTACGTTTTCAAAAATTTATCTTATAAAAAACGCATGAAAGAAATCAGATAAAACTTCACAACCTGCGTATATTTTGATGGAGTTTGTTTATATCAGTTTTCTTCAGGAATATTTTTGGCACGAAATATATTTTCATATCGATTATTTATTAGTTGAACGAAAGAAATTTTATCTCGTAATAAAAGAGTTTACTAAAATATTAATAATTGTACTTGCGGACTTAGTTTAAGAAATTCGAATAAAGCATTCAGAAAACTTAATCGGAACCAAAATTAACATGATCTGAGATTTAGTCTCTATTAACCGAGTTTTTGATTACCCGAGGTGATACCTCAAATAATCGAAGTACTATTATATATACTTTTCGTATAATGAATAATACCTGAAAAGCTTTGCTCACACATTTCTTAAATAAAACAAATAAGTCCTATAACAAGCACAAAAACAAAGAGAAGCGGCAAAAGTCTTTTGTGAAAAACTTCTCTGATTTTTGTGGCCATTTGTGTTCCTTAATCATTCTTTTTTCTTTTTAATAATTTCTAAAGCAATCTAATATTTTTTATTTGTAAAATATTCTATATCCTTTACAAAATAGAATTCAAAGTGTTCTTCTATTTATTGTCTCTGTAATTCCCGGCACTTTTTAAAATGCGTTCAAATTATTGCAGTACTTTAGCACTAAGCTTGAACTTAGATGTTCATTTCTGATACTAAGGATTCCATTTTGCACTGTAGATTTTTATTTAAGGTGAATTTTTAATTGTCTGAACTAAAATTAAATTTATGATTTATGCTATCATCAGGTCTATCTAGGAAACTTAAAATTTTAATGCGGTAGTAACTAAGCAACAGCGATACCTTTTAGTTTCATAAAAGGCTAAAAAATAAAAATTAATTTCATGAATTAGAGCAAGTCCATAATGTCATTCGTTTCTGAGTATGAAGACCTGCCATAACTTTTAATGTCAGGCTAGAAATGGGATAGCTCAGATTGGATAATTTCAAATGCCTTTCGATTTAATTGCATCATAATTATGACGAATCTAAGGATAAACTTAAATTCAGGCATAGACCTTAATATTTCGCTATTGTTGAAGCTACTGATGAATATTACTTTGTGGCCTACCAGAGGCTGAGCGGTAAAAGCCCCTGAACACTGGTAGTTCCGTCTGGGGCAAGTCCCGATGCTCGGGCTGGCATTATGGGTGTTTTCGGGGTTTCGTACCCCCCCCCCCCATGTGTAAAATGGTACAAGACAGTTTTCCTTAAAAAAGTCCTCCATGGACAGCCCTCTTTCAGTGCAGTGACTAATGGAGGAGCATTTAGTAAAATAAAATATAATATTACTTAGTGGAAAAGCCCTACAGACTCATGTAAATATGTGTTTTGAGAACCTAAAACAAATTTTAAAAAGATAAACTGCAGATATAATAAAGAGACCTCAATTTAAAAAATTATTTTATAAAATACTCAAAATTTTTTTTTCAGATTTAAAGCATCAATAAAATTTTTAATTCGGGATAAAACGAACAACTCTTGAGAAGCAGACCTCTTTTATCCAAAGCTAAACGTTTTATACACATTTCTCATGCTATCGATAATTTTTTAAAACCTAAAATGTAAATTTAATGTTTGGGAGACTAAATTAAGTAACCTCCGATTGCACAGACTGCATATAATGAGTCAGTGGTTACAAAAGCATAACTGAGAACTGCAAAAAAAAGTGAAATTTTAAGAAAGGTAAGCAGCTCACAGGAAGAAAAGTACATATTTCAGTTTCGAAACTTTTCAAGAATCAAACAGACCTTTCAGGCAAAATCTTATTTCATGCCGTTTCTGTAAATAATATATGACTAAAATATTTTCCCTTTATTATTGAGAAACAAAATTATTATGTATAAAACAAGCTTTAGTTATTATATTCCAAATGCAGATATTAATAATCATACCATTAAACGAGAAATAAATTTATATTAATTGGCTTTTGAATTTTATAGAACTTCCAAAAATATTAAAAGTATCCAAAATACAGCAATAACCATTACTTATTTATCAACTTCACATCAATTTCATGGAAATGCTTTATCAGTATTTATAAGTTGCGCAGTACATAAAATTGTTGTGAAAAATTACTGGTTTTACTGACTAATTCCTATACTGGCGTGCTATGCGTGGCATAATAAATCTAAATGATGCTTATTATGCAATATTCCCTTTCTTTTATTATACTTAATAAAATAAAAATCTACTACTAATCATTAATTAAATAAAATGAAATCTGTATTAAGCAGCATGAATAGAATAAACATTAAAAAAACTCCTCTATTTTGACAATATATGCTATGCAAAAATTAAAAGCATTGAAATAATATTACAGAAAATATTCCAAAGTCTTAACATAAGAACATTCCACAGAATTTTTTCCACAGAGTGTGAAGTTGCAAGCATGCAGTTCATTTCCTAAAATTCTAAAAAATTTTAAAGAAGGAAGTTAGAAGATCTTAGACTAATCTACAGTTTCTTTGAGAAGAACTGTTTTCATTTCTTAGAGAATATATCACTTAAATCTTACCCAGATCGTCAGCGACGATGAAGATGATGTGGGGACGTTCAGCTGCTGATATGCACGTAATCACATAGAGTAGTGCAGCTAAACCATATAGTGTACTCTTATAGGCTTGAGACATCTCTCCTGAGCTAAAACGTTTGTATTAATTGGAATTCTAGATTTGCCATCCCGTATTTTAGACGAAGACAGTGGGAAAAGTGTACGAGGAAGGAAGGGGTCAACGATTGGCCATCAGAAAGAATTCCAAACCCTCAACCCGTCTGACAGGTGCCCGTTGGAAGCCTCAGTTTATGAATGATCGTCACTTTAGAGGCTGTAATTGCGACCTTTTTTTTTAATTTCTCCTAGAGGCAATAATAATTTTCTTTTTATTTTGATGTTGCTTACGGATAAAAATTTTCTCGCTCTCTTTCTGAACAGTTTTGTTTTTAATACCATTGATTTCAGTAATTTCTTTCAATTTACAATTATTAAAATTTCGTTGGTATTTATTTAATTGACTTTACTCCTGAGCTCGGAGTACATAATTTAAAGAACTTGTTATAAACAATTACTTATGATAGAAAAAGTGTTATAAAATTCTAATACATATCGATATCTTAAATTTTCTTGCTTAACACACAGCATGCAATGTCATATATCTGTAAATGACTCTGCCATTTCATGGATAACATGGTCATTGATATATGAATGACTAGCATGCTTTGCAAAAAAACATTCATTATAAGTGGCCCTAGTACAGTCTCCTACAATAGTTTTTAGTAGTTGGCACCAAAGGAGCTTGTTCAAGGTTTTAGTTTTAACTAACGAAAAATTTCAGAATTATGTTAAAAAAAACATACAGCAGCATTTATAGATGCGAAAGGGGAGGAAGGCTGACTTGGTCTTTTGTACTGCATTCATCGTGAGTAGCATGTGACTAGGAAAGTTCTTATTGTAATCTTGTTTTTATTGTAATACACTAAAGCCAGAAAGTATTTAGTGTATTTAATTATATATCACTAGAAAGAGTATTTAACTACACATCATTTAGAAATTTAGAAAATACTTTTTATATAATAATATATGATAATAAATAAAATATAATAAATAATAGTAAATAACATTAGAAAGAAAGAAATTAAAACTGAATCTTCGTAAAAAAAAATACTGATGGCCACTACTAGATCTGGAGTCACTTACTCTTGGTTTTTTGTAGTTTGTACCGGAGATATGTTCTTTTCCTATTATACATCTGCACGTTATCGAACAAATTTTACTAGTAATTGTAAAATTACAGCATTTACATCCATTTCGAGAAAATACTTTATTAGTTTATAAAGTGTAATAATCGAGTAAATCTACAGCAAGAAACATCCTCCAATCAGAATCAAAATTTACTTTATAATACTAGATGACGGCATAACTAGCTTAAACTTGTCAAAGCGTACTTAGTTGCATCATTAATTACGACGAAGCAGTCGAGGGATCTAATGTCGCTAGTGGATCAGACACTGTTGAAGGTTATGTTCTGAAATGAGCAAAAAAGTCTATAAATGCCAACTTAAAAGTGGGAGACTGATGAAATTTGAAACCTAAGTAATAAAGATTGGGAAGGAATATTTCAATTATTCTGTAAGTTTTTATTTTAATTAACTCAATCGTCTTATTATCGTAATCTGGATTTTTTATAACTTCGACTTTCGTTAACTTCCACCAGAATCCGAAGCAGTTTAACCGCATGCTTTGTTATTCTGAGTCAACTCAGTAGACGAGAATTTCTCGAAAATGTTTATCACGAAGTAATTCGTTCATGCTTCATGATAGATTTTATTTATTCAAAATTAACTCCCAATCTGTTTTGCGGCTATGCTAATGACTTTCACAGTGTTTTGTTATGAGAATACGCAAGTTTTATGCCACGCCTCTTTTAACTGAGCATTAATTTCAGAATTCAAATAAATATTTACCATTTATTTTGCGTCATAAATATATTAAAAAACACAAAAATTTATAAAAAATATTTATACAATCTTTCGATTTATGTCTTGTTGAACTAATTAAAAGTACGAAGTTTTTCATTTTTATTAATTTATTTATTTATAGCTCATGTGCTCGTTTTTCCGTAATAAATCATATAATAAATCCTTTCTGTTTTATTTACGGAGGAAATGGATGTCATTGATAGAAATATCTCAACTAACTGTAAATAAACAATGAATCTAAATAAAAATTCCTCAAATTAGGAAGCGTTATTTTGTATTACGCACTATTATACAGTTCTTTATGTTTACAGAAAACAACGTGAAAAAACTTGGCGCGTGAGAAAAAGATAAATTTACGACGACTAATCATTTGTCTGTCATCATGACTGTGTTGAAACAACAATAATTGCTGCAAGAGATCATTACGATGCAGTGGCGTACATGGAGGTAGGAAGTAAGAAGGAGTCGCCCTAAACAAGTTTCTCCGTACCCTGCTCTGAAGCACCGGCGATCCCTACGTGGTGACCAAAACATTGGTTCATTTACCATTGAGTTCTATGGGATTTGACGCGTTCGGGTGTAAATATTTTGTAATTACGTCGCAAATATACATATAAATGTATATATTTTCTTTTTCTACAACACTTCAGAGTCCTAAATATGTGAAAACAACATATTTTTAAACAACATTTCATTCTGAACGGAATTAAATGCTATACTTTTCACAGGACAGTTTTCTCAGAAGGGTTTAATTTGAATGAAATATTATCACAAGTTTTCGTTAATTACATTAGAAAAAAAAATTAAGGTAATTCGGTTTTATTCGGTTAAGGTACAAAAATTAAGATCAAAGTTTATTGTATTATTAATATTAAAATTATGCATTATTTCTTTTCTATTTATAGAGCTTCTTCCTAAAATACTTTCTTAAATATGACATGATTTTTTGGCTTTTTTTAAATCGAAAAATGTAAGTCAATTTATAATTAATGCTCTATTCGGTTCATTTTAAATTAGAGAATTATTAGGAATTAAATAGTATTTGACTTTCTCTGAACATTTCTGAAAGGGAATAAAATAAGTTTTTTTTTTTTTTTTTTTTTTTTTTTTTTTTAAGTATTATTTAAAACTTGTAACTGAGTTATTATAAAATGTAAAGGGAATAATTCTTTTAATTATACTTATCAGATTTTTTTTTTTTTTACCCTTCATTTCAACAATACATATTCCAAAACTCTTTATTACTTTCTCAAGTGCGCATCTCATAGCATTTGCTTTACAATACCTTTTAACAGATTGCTTTCCAATACGAGCAATTCTTGCTTAAATAGTTTTATAACGTATTTGTCAACAGGATTTCAAATTATGTTCACAATTCAATATTAAGGTTATTATATATTTAGATAACATTTATAATCATTATAAATTAGATACATTTAATCATTAGATTTCTTCACAGTACTTTCACAGTTGTTTATAAGTGAATAAATTCTTCATTTCAAATACATTTATAAATAATTTAATGAATATTTAAGTATTTTGTCAAAGGCAGATACATGCTTTTTGCAAGGACATGCATAAATACCCATACATATTTCCTATTTATCATTTCCGGCATGTGCAAATCTTTAATTTCTGTGCATTCACTATATTTTTCGTGTAAAGTAATTTACACTAATTTAGCACACACCCGAAAGTGTATTTATTTACATAAAAAATATATATGAATATAATTTGAATGAAAATTATAAGTATTATTTTTAATACCCACTCAAAGGTCAGTTTTTCTTTAAAATTCCTCCACGATGGCATCTCTCTCTTTAGGCAGATAGCCCTTGCATGCGTTACTCTATTTAATAAAAACTTAATCTGACCTATGAGCCTAATTACAAATATTTTAACATACATAATTTTATATTTACATTTAGCCATCAAGTTTCAAACTTTTCAAATCTTCTAGAAAATAAATTTTGGCAGATCTCTTTTAGCAATTTTCTTAAAATCTATATTTTTGTAGTGCAACAGCTTAGAATTTTATAAAACAAATTCATAATCAAAATCGCTGTTGTTAGTTATCGAAAAATAACCAAGATGTGATTTTTGCGTAAATGCCAGTAAACTATACAAATTGCTATTATCCATCACACTATGAATGTTTCTTTCATGCGAGAGTGTCCCTTTTTCGATTCTATGGAACTGTCGTGTGTCGAAATACTATCAGAATCTTGTCAAGCGAGCTTCTGAATGTAAACAAACAACATCCCGTCTGGTGACCCAAGCTTCAAAGCAGTGCTTCACTTCTAGCGCGGAATGGCCCCTCCTCCCTTTCTTACCTCCATGGTGGCGTAGCTAGGGTGGGCAAGGGGGGAGACATCTGTCCCCGGGCGCAGCATCCAAGGGGCGTCAAATTGATGCTACGAAATTTTTTTAATGAAATGTTTTCCATTCTTGGCACACAGAAAGGGGCGCAAATTCTTCAGTTGTCCCCGGGTGCTTGAAACTCTAGCTACGCTTCTGTTACGATGTAACAAGTACACAGCTACAAGAAATGGCTGATTTTCGGCTTCGCCATACAAAGAGACAACAGAAATAAACATTTAATCAGATATATTTGCAAGTGAGCTATTTTCCTTAAATCTTATAGTATCCTACAACTTATTTCTTTAAATCTATTGCAGAAAGTGAAAACAAACAATAAACAACCTGATGAGAAAACCCTGGTAATCATTATGAAAGAAAATTCATGTCTTTTTAAATTTTAGCATCCCTTGGTTAACAGTTTTCGTGAAAAAAAAAATAATAGGGGGGTGGTATTTTGTACTTTTAAAAAACAAAATTTTCCGGAAAATAAAAGATAAAATGCTTTTCTTAGTTACAGAAAGTTTGTCTGATTTTACTTTGCTTTGATATTTTTAACTAACAATATAAAACTTTTTCTGCAAGATTTTTGAAAGCGTTCTTAGCAAAATGTCCCAAACAATGCTTTCCCAAAAACAAATAATTGCAGTGTTTTTCTAGTTCTGCTATTTATAACAATGACATTTTACTCAATTTACAGAATTTATCGTTACTACCTTTAAAAAATAGTGCTGCCATCTATTGTTACAATAAGAGATCTCTAGAATCGTCGTTTCATATTTTCAGTTTCTTGTTTCATTTCTAGCTTCATATTTTGATTTATAATTTTATCGATTCAGTTTCGTATTTTGTTTGCACGTTTGTAACTCATGTTTCTTTTAGTTTAAACGGTATTTTGCTGCAATACTGCGAGCTAGAACCCACGCAATTTCTAGTAATTGAATAGGAAGGTGCATCTGGGGATCAAATGTGGCCTTGGTATTTTACCTCGTTATTTTCTGTAATAATTTAAATATTGACATTTACCTGCCCCCCTTGGGTTTCTAACAAGGCTTTCGTGGGGTTGCTTTACTTTTAATTCTAGCTAAATTAAACTAAATTTCCTACTAAATTTTCTGTATTTTTCCAAATTTAATTATTTTTATATTTGTATATCTTGGCATATCTAAATTTTAGAGCCTATAAGATGTTAACAGCTGCTGAAATACAGCTAAGACATATACAAACAGTTTTCAGTTACTTTACGTATTTGGGACTTTGTTTAGAAAGTCCTCCACGAAAGCATCCTTTCTCTTAAGTAGATAGCTCTCCTATGCTTTGTCTCAATACATTAACTTATTCTAACCTAGTATATTCTAGGCTTCTGAGTGTTACATTCACTCAAGAAACAGTTAAAACTAAATTAAGCACACTTTCCTAGTTTTTATTCATCTGTTCCTTATATAAACAAAAGAAATGCAATCAGAAAAGAGATTTAGAGCATAAAATCAGATATTAATTTTTATTTGAATTGCAGAATGCATTCCTAGTCGACAAAAGAGGGCAGTAATAATACCTTGAGGCCATAAAGATTTAGAAAGTATAATAGGCAAAGAAAATATATTCAGAATTAGTTTCTAGCAGTTCCATGGTGTGCATTGTTTCCTTGATGGAAAGAAAACCATCATTTATGAATTGCTTTACTAGGAAATAATGGTATTAAGATTAATGAATTTTCTAATACTTGATGACGTCAAATTAATAACTGTTCAAAGTTTGTCTGAAAACTAATTCTAATCTTATGTCATTGCATGAAAACATACAATAATTCAGAAATAAATTAACCCTTTAACTGTCAAGTTATTTTGATGATTTGGGTACACAAATTGTCAATTTTTTTTATTGGAAAAACCAAATGTAGCCGAAATAAACATCTCCCGATATATATTCGGATATGACAATACGATGCACTCAAAAAAAAATTACCCCGAGAAATACTCGGGCGTGACATTTTCGAACACCAGTGCTAATCTCGGGCATGATAGTTAAAAGGTTAAGAACAGAAAATTCTGTTTAAATCTGCGAAGACATTATGTAAATATTCTAGGCTTCTGTAGAAAAAAGAACAAGTGCTCTGTTTCATATTTTCAGAAAATAATTCTGTACTTTACTAAAGAAAGGCACTCTTAAACTTCAGTAAATCAAAATTTACCTGAATTTCCGTTTTTTCTAGCTTAATATACTTTTCTAACTGAAATAGTAACTTGAAGCTGGTTACCGTAGACAGCTTTTTGATTGCTGTGCTAAGTAGATAATAAAGGCACTAACTATTATGAGGAAAACGGATTGATTTTCTAAATTCTTCCCTATTGCATTTAAATTCCCTTTTTTTGCTTCAAAGTTTAAGTATGAAAATGGCATTAAATCAGAATTTGACAATAAAATTACATAATAAAAAGGTGCTAAGCTTTAGCAGGAAACAAATAAGATTTCTGTTATTGACACTTATTCTACGCTTTAGTAAAGAAGGGGCAAACTTAAATCAAACTTAAAAGTCCTAATTGAACTTTATTACCATTTCTGCTTATTATTTATATGCAGCGATTTGAAAAGGGTTACTGTAAGAATTGTGTTGATTCTGCTAACTAGAAAATAGACGAATGAGTTGCTATACAGAAAACAAGCCGCTTTCGTAAATACTTCCTAATAAAATATATTATTATTTAGGAATGTGCAACTTATGCTGTTATGTATAATATAAACAGTAATTAATAAAACAATCCTTTATAGTTTTTTCCCTTGGACACATTAAAGATTCGCCCATATGGTTCCTTAAGTTAATAATTAAATGACATAAATTTCTCCGGAAATTTTAGATAAAGGATAAAACCTTTCATAATAAAGCTTCTAAATGAAATAATGCTACATTAAGCACTTTCCATTTCTTTATACTTTCTGCCGCACAAGATCTCTAAATGAGATTCTACAGCGTTTCGGTGTCCTTGCTCTTGTCGAGTAATAAAGATGCAGGAGTTAGCAGAAATGAGAATCTTGCATAATCCCCCGCCAGTGTGTTGATGTTTCTTAACAGAAAGCAGCGTGTTTGTGTACATGGTGCTTAGAAGCATGCTTCGGATATCTTGGCACCTTCTGCCAACTGCGCAGGTCCTTGCTCGAATCTGTCTATTTCGAGGAGATGAAGAGGAGAGTGAGCTTTTAACGATGTGACGCAATACCAAACACTTTACGACCCTGACGCCTTCAATACGTAACTCTTAAACTTCTGTACAGCTGCCAGCGCAGGTAGATGGGTCTTTACCCTTTGTGTAGTTTTAGCATAACTTAATCCATTTCGCCGCGAATTGGACACGAAAAGTTCTTATGGAGATTCTTTTTGAGAGTTTAGGTCCTGGTGTGCATTGCTATTCCCCTTTTCTCAAATCACCTGTCAGTGATACGAGTTTGAACTTAGAAGAGCTTTGTAAAAGTGTCATATTGAAATGTGTTACACTTCGGCGGTTATCAACAGCTCTGAAAAAATTGCCATTACCCAAACGCTTGTTGAGATTCATTATTGAGCTCACTACATCAGATTTTGAAAAAATTGAATGTGCACCTTTCAGCGATGCCTTCAGTTTCAATTTTTTCCATAGAGCTTTAACGTATCGAGTTCTGTGTGTTCGAGATGGACAGGAATACATGATTACGTACGGTTACAGTCCGGTCGAGGAACATAATCTTGACCACGAACAATGGGTTAACGTGCAGCACAAGAATGTAATGTGCATTTGGGCGTCTGTAAAGGATATGTCAACGGAAAATATTTTTTATGTTTATGATCAACCTAGTGTCTCTTTCGAGCAAATGTGGAGTGTTTTTTGCGAAAGGGATTTACCTATTCCTGAAGTGTTTTTCTGGCGCGTAACAGCTGATCTTAGTGAAGCACTGAAATATATATTATCAAATGGATTGCAATATTGTCATTTTGGTTTGGACAACATTTTTATTGTTCGAGACAGTTTAATGCTAGAAAACGGGTTATTGCGCAAACGCACAAAATGCATGAATTGTGTAACGGAACAAAATATGATCGAAAGTATTATTTGCATTTTGAAACTTCTGTTACAGAGTTACACACATCAGAATTTTTTTTATGCTCAAATTTCTCTCAACTTGGTGAATGTTATAGAAAAAAAGAACACGTTAGAAGAGATTCTTAAATTTATACACATTTCGCGTTATGATTTAAAGGCATTTTCTTTTGTGAATCTTATACAACGTTTTCAAGATTAAGACTTGTAAAGATTCGTTTCAGTTATTTATTCTTATATTTGTATGTGATATTTGATTCAATGCTTTTAAATGCATCTTTTATACAGCACATGATGTTTTATTCATCGTATTTTGGTTTATACCATGAACAATAAATTATTAATTTGGTTAATAACAAGAACAGTTTCCTGTAAATTTGATGACATCCCTTAAAATTTGTGTTTTGTAGCTGAATTAAGCAACGTGCTTGATAAGCTTGAGTAACTATATCATGTTAATGAAAGTATTAATTGTCAAATGAAATATATGAAAACAAAGGCCCAAATTGTAAAATTAGTTTAAATTAGTTAAAAATAGTTTAAAAATTTTAACTCCGGGTGTGAAAGATGTTACTTTTTATTTATATTATAATTATTAATTTTTTTCCTTCTTCTTTCTGAAGTATTGACGATAGAAGATCATTTTAAACAAGAGAAGCTACAATGCCTTAATTTGCAGTTTAAGTTGTTTCATTTCACATTTTTTAAATAATATGTCATTTTTTAACAAATAAACAGTTAATTAATCAACAAATGTTAATTACCTAATCATACTTGTCATATTACCTAAATTTCATTGGCTGTAGATTTTTTTCCTATTGTCATCTGTTTAAAAGCTTGCTTTTAATAATTATTGTATAAAGGTAAACAAAGGATTTTTAAGAATCATCCCCTGTGTTTTTTTTTGGGGGGGAAGGGATTATTTTAAAAGTTTTTAAAATTTTTTACTTAAGAGTAGTCTAATCTTTTTTTTTTTTTTTTTTTTTTTAGCCAGGACTACAAAATGGGAACAAATTGTTACAGAAATATTACATAATAATTATGAAATTAAAAGAGTAATGCTCAATGAAAGAAAAATGGGTTTCATGAATCCCCATGACACTTCCTTTGTAATTGTTTCATAGTGAGTACAAGAAAATATTCAGTTTCATTTTATGTATTTATTTAGAAATATTTCAGTTTTAATTGTTTATTGAAATAATTGTGCATATCTAATGCTGTCAAGTTCAAAGCAGTTAAGGTGTATCTACCAGAAGTTATGCATGAGTTAAATTTTGATTAATATGCATCAAAATCTAATGCTTTATGAACGTATTTAGTATTACTATAAAAGCTGATAAAAGGCTGTTGGAATAATCTAAGACAGTATTTTGATTTTGATATTTATAATAATTAATTAGTTTACTAATAAATGTGATTTTTGACTTTTAGTTTGAAGCTACTTGATAAAGTACATAATGTAATAATGCAAAATGCTAAAAATTAGGACACTGTCATTTCGTATATTGTAATTGTGAATCTTTTATTAGTAGCTGGAATCCAAACTCAGTTATTAATTAAAAATCTAATTGCTTTTGTAGAAAGCCTTTTTATATATATATATTTCTTAATATCTACTATAATTTCATCTTAGATGAGAAATTATAAAATAGAGTGTATACATACTTCTTAAGAATGCTAAATATACTAATCATAAACAAAAAGAATTGGCGCAATGTGAGTAAATTTTCAGGAATATATTTCGAAGATTAATTGGAAATTTTTAATTCAGTTACAGGAGTGAAACGACAGAGAAACGTGTACTTAGGATATAACAACAGGCAAAATGTTCGAGAAGTTCCAGATAAAGGATAAGAAGCAAATGTCAACAAAACGCAATTAGGAAATAGTTTCTTGATGGTGAAGAGGGATTAGAATGGGGATTATTAACCAGAAGCGAAAAATGTCTATGAATGTGAAACGCCCTTGGAAATCTAATTCCTGGAGGTGAGCCGAACTATTTATTATAAGAGTTCATAAGTTAGTAATTTCTTTTCATTGGTTAGTTATGTTAGTTGTACGTATTTACAAAAGTTTAACTTTCTTTTTCTTTTCTCGTTCAGCTGAAGAAGATTATTCTGTTTAAATTTCGAAATTATATTCTAACGAATTTACTCACGTTAAACCAAATCTTGTTGTTCATTATTGTTCTCCAGGGTACTTTGATATGAACAGATTTATGTTGCAGACTTCACAAAATATGAGTATATTTTTAATGAAATACAGGGCTTAGATTCTAAAATTAGAAGTGCCGGAGTCCTATGCAGACTGTGAGGAAGGAAAGAAAAAATAAATAAATAAATAAAATAGCTAATAATTAAATAATAATTTTACATTAAGATTAACACTAATTTGATTAAATTAACTAATCAAATTTAATTATGTATTAATTAAATAATAAATTTAAATAATAAATTTAAATTAAGAAGAATGTGAAGAGATAAAGAGAAATCTAATAAATTATTAAATTAATTTTGAATAGTTAAATAGAAAAAAAAATATCGGACCTCGTCTTATTTGAGGCATCGTCTGAAATTACGATTCCACTTAGACAATAAGAAGCAGCTCAGCTGATCTCCGTTTGAGTTTAAGCCCTGATTATACATAAAATGTACAATTCCAAGTGATGACATGTATCAGTCTTTTTTTTTTTTTTTTTTTTTTTTCCCAGCACGGCAAGGAAAAAAGATAAAACGATTAAAGCTCCACTAAGGAGAATAGTGAGAATTCTAGAAACAGTATGATGGTATGGAAAGGAATTTAACTGAAAAGTGTAGCTTTGAAGATAAAGAGGGAAGAGTTCAAGACTTCCTTATCGCGATGCCCTGTCGATATAATTCTAGCCATCAAGCAGAAATTATCCTTGATTACTTTTCCTGAATACAACGGGAGAATAAATATAAGACTTGTCGGTACAAGTGACAGCAGTGGCCCCCCCCCACGTTTGGTTATGTCATTCAGAAAGTCTACAGCTTTGCAGAAGGAAGTCACTAGTGTGGAACGTGCACGACCAGGGTGTCACTTTTAGTTCTTTGAGGGGGAATACAAAATTTACCCGCTCTCATAAATTCATTGCATATCCTGGAGAATAAGCCTTTGACATATAATTGCGACTCTGTGCAAGGCTTGAGTGCGATGGAAAGATAGTCTTGCATTCAGAAGTTAGAATAGGACTTTTAGACATGTTTACTATTAAAACAAAATTTCTGTTATAAAATTGAGGTTCACTTGCATAAAAAAAGTGCCTGAGCCCTTTTATTTAAGGCTCCGGTGCGCTCCGGCTGAAATTATAATTTATCTGGAAAACTGAGAAATATCAGATTCGGTCTCCGGTGGGCTCCAGCGCAATTTAAGCTCTGATGAAATAAAAATATTTCTTTGTGCATTTTTGATCAAAGAAAAGATGTCATAAATTTTCCTTTTTTGTTGTTTACGAGAAGTGAAAGAAAATAATTTAAAATTTAGAACTTGAAAGAATATTATACCAAGTGCTTTACTGTATTGCACTTTAACGTGAACATAGAAAAGAGTTTTGATGAAATATTTAAAAGAAAAGGCACGTGTACTTTTTTTTTTTTTTTTTTTTCCCACATACTCGAGAATACGGAAGAGCAGCACAGAACAACAACTACGTAGGCACAGGGGCAGTATAGTCAATGTCTAGTACTGTAAAAATACGAGCCTCACAACTAAGCCACCAGTGAGGTTCGAACTCACGACCCCTGGTTTACGAGACCAGTGCTCTAACCACTGAGCTATGGTGGCGACAGAAATTGGGTCACTTTAAAACCAATTTATCAATTTCCTGAATCCTGAAGGCTGCTTATGGGCTTTTTATATAATTAGCACATCAATTTTTATTTTATTTTATTTTATTTTTATTTATTTATTTATTTATTTTTTTTTATGTGAGTCTGAGTAGTGGACATTTAAAAAATAAGTAAAGCAAACGTACAAAATAGGGTTTTATTTTAATAAACTTCTTAAAGGTTCAATCAGTTAGGTTATGCATAAAATAAAAATGAATAATTTGAAACATTTAATTATAAATAATTATTAAATAGTCAGTACTTAATTAAGTGTTTTGTTTTTTTTTTTTTTTTTTTTTTTTTTTTTTTTTACCAAGTCATCTATCTTAAGACTAGTTCTTGAAGATGCTAACAAAATTAGGTGTTTTAGGTGCATATCATTTAAGCTTGAACGATATTTGGATTTTATTATGTTCATAATAGAAAACATTTGTTCATGATCATATATTGATCCAAACCTACAACAATATCTGGCACTCAAATCGCATAAATTTGGAAAATTGCTTGTTGATACAAATTTCCAAAATTCAATATAATTTGAATAACTTGCAGTTGAAATAAGTTCCTTATATTTGCTTTCCAGTGTAGCATGCTGTTGTAGGTCAATAATTTCGATTTCGATTTCAGTTGGGTAACAATTAACGTTTTGCAGAGAAATTGAATTATTATACTTATTCTAGCGTGTTTATGTTGTAGGGTTTCCTTTAGTTTAACAAACATATTCAAATTTTTGTTATCTTCTCTGAACTCCTTAATTTCCCCTCGCATTTCCTCGCCAGGATGTAAATTTAAAGTTAAGTGAAGTGAGTATTTAAACGGGTTAATCTCGGAGTTTATTCAAAGCGTGTTTTCGCTAGCCAGTGCACCTTTCGTTTCTGAACTTGCTGTTACGCTGATACGCCGTTTGGACATTTGAATAATTATCACGTCTGTTAGGTTGTCGAGTCCGCCTAGTTAGCCGTATCTTAAAGTGCTAATCCAGCGCTATTCTTTTTAGACTTGAATTGATTTGTGTAATAACGTTTAAGCTCCACCGCAAATTGTCGGTGTTATTATAAAGCAGAAAGTGCGTGCCCTTTTTGTTCATAGTTGAAATTAATAAAGAGTTATTTTCCCCTTCTTATGTGCTGATATTATTTCACGTCTGTGCGAGAAGTCTCCAGGTTTATTAGTAGGATCTAGATTAGTTTATGTGGCCTAAGAAAGGTAGATCCTATAATATGTGTATCTATCGACGATGTTGATACAGACGATATTACTATTTTTTTTTTTTCTTTCAAAACTTTTAATTCAGTAAGTCTTCCTGTGCCACTGTTAAGACTCTGCCGTGCCACACTGCAGCACGCGTGCTGCGGGTTGGCCATCCCTGATTGCCATAAACCAAATAAACCAGTCTAAATTGACTTAAAAGTTAACGTTTTTGTCTCATGCATTTTAAGGCTGTTAGAACAGGATGTATCTCCAACAGGACATGGGAGGGTATAATAGACCCCTGGTTCAAATGTTTTCTTCGGAACCTTGGAATGGCATGCAAATTCTCTTTGGTTTTTCGAAGTCAAAGTTAATATTAGAAAGAGAATACCATGTAGATTATAAAACTAACTATCTAAAATAAGTAACTAAATTTTTTAATTATCATTATATTATTATTTCTATTGTCATCGCTACCTAAAATTATACCTAGCAGATCAGTTTTGCGTAAAATTACAGCGAAATAATTTTTCTTTCAGTTTCCATAACTGCACACAACACTGATCTTTTAACATTATTTTTCGGATGGTGGCTCCATCCCTCGAAAATTAGTCTAAGCAATTCCTCATGACGACAAAAATTGAAGATCACTAAACTAGGACGAAACAAATGTACAACAGAAATTGAAGCCAACTGACTACTGTGTATCGAGTTATTTAATCTCTATTAAAACTGACAAGACAATCATCAGGAATCTGTGTTTCAGGTTATGCTGCATAAAACATGGATTTCTTCCCCTCCCCCCTGTTTTCTTGTTCCAAATTTCGTTTCGAAGCGGTTTTGATCAAACAGGCAAACTCAGCCTCAGAAATATTGTAATGCTTGTAAGCCAAAGCTCAGAATAAATTTTAAAAATATGTTATCAATGTGTTTTGTCTAAAGTGATAACTCGCTGTGAAGCGTTGGTAAGTAAAGATTCCAGAGTTGTTAGTGCTGTATTTTGTTAACCAGTTAATCTTTTTAGCTCTCTTTCGTCTCCATTAAGCCCGCTCAGTACTGAAATATTTGGATTAATTACTAAATAAAAGAACTTATGAAGAGAACAACGATGTCATTGTATCCACCAGCGGTCCGAGCGGTAAAGTCGTGAATACTTTCAGTTTTCTTGTTTTTCCCCGAGTGTAACGTGGATACGAACCAGTTCCTATGGAAGTCCTTCAAGAGTCGCCTAACCGGGATAGTGGTTAGCGACGCTGACTGCCGTACCGAAGAGCCCCGGATTCGAATTTCGGAGAAGGCATGGACGTTTGTAAATATATAGTGTCTGTGCGGCAGGGGGGACTCTAAATATGCGGCGAGTCGAAATTCCTGTCTAGAGGTTAGTGGTAGGAGAAGAGTAGTGGAAAACCCTCGGACCCGTTTCACCCTCGCGTTGCTCTCCATCAAAATTGGGGGCGGAACTGAGCGCAATCGTACTGTCACCTGTATGATGCTTAAGGCTCTTCTCAATAGCAGGTGCAACATTGCTCTCCTTGCCACGCTGCATTCCTGGGCTTGTTCTGATGTTACTGTCAGAAAAACGAGATTGTCGCCCTCGTGGCCTAATGGATAAGGCATCGGTTTCCTAAACCGGGGATTGTGGGTTTGACTCCCACCGAGGGTACTGAGTGTATTTTTTTTTTTTTTTATTTTGTTATATCTTCACTATGCATTTATGTTTACTGTTATTTTATACTCCTAATATGTATACACTACACATGAGTGACTCTCAAATTCTGTGAGCTAAGGCATTTCTTTACCACGCCATTTGCTTATCTGCGCATTTACCTTCGCCAAGGCCTGCACCGCAGGTGTGTTTCTGTTGGACTCATTTATGTGCTCACCCAGACTGTGAACTGTTCTGAACTTCCATTTTCTTCGATAAGACCCATAAACTGTTCGAACTTACAAAGAATCGAAAGTCGGAAATCATTATACCGGGATAGCGTCTACACGCGGGCACCCGTAACTGCGAACCTCATCGAGTTTGCCTGAGCCGACAAGTGAGACAAGTCACAACAATTACAACGCAGTCTTTCACGAAGGCATCTCTCTCCTTAGGCAAATAGCTGTCGTGTGCTTTGCCGTAATCAATACATCCACCTTAAACTGTGTTAAGAGCTGATGCCATCTATTGACGGAAAAATGAACGAAACGCAACTAAGAAATAAATTCTTTCGAATTCACTTTAATGCTATGGTTTTTTGCAACGATTTCGAGTGCTTTAACCCAACTCTGGTTCACGCTAGATGGGCCAAACATATATTATCATTGTGTGCTTAGATTTTTAAAAAAATACTCTAAATAAAGCGAAAAGAATTGAATAATAAAAAAAGAAATTATGAAGAAAGAAAAATTAAAACAAATGACTTAGAACCTAAGAGCGAAAAAAAAAAAAAAAAAAAAAAAAAATTAGAAGCCGAATTCCCACTCCGAGTGCTTTTGTCACAAAGCTACACTACTACGCGCAGCAGGCACCTGTAAGACAATAAAATTTATTCATATATCATATCCTGTCAATTCCTAGTTTGAGTGTTAATATATGTTTCAAATCTTCTTCTCTATCACATCAATTTGAAGGCTTGTTAAAGCAGAATATTTGCAAACAGGTCATGAGCACTGGCATCATATTCTTTCATCTTCCATAAACTCCAAATCAGCTGTTGATTTGTTAAAGCAGAATATTTGCAAACAGGTCATGAGCACTGGCATCATATTCTTTCATCTTCCATAAACTCCAAATCAGCTGTTGATTTGTTAAAGCAGAATATTTGCAAACAGGTCATGAGCACTGGCATCATATTCTTTCATCTTCCATAAACTCCAAATCAGCAGGATTTCAGTCTTTTAATCTTTTGTAAATGATAGTCTTCTAACCTCATATTATTAGCCAAATAGGGAAAAAGCACTTTTATACTACCACAAGAAAAAACATTCTTTTGCTGAGATTGATTTTTAAGAATTTAGTAGGTAACCAATTTTTTTCCTTCTGATAAATTGCAAAATTCCACGAATTTTCTACAGGTTTTAATTTTTACATCAGTTTTTCTGATACTAATAAAATTCGCAGCATGGTACTTAACAATTCTGCGCTAGATCTGAACTCCTGAGGTACCTAAAATACTCCTTGCAAATTAATATACATTTATAATGCAAAGAGAGTCTTGAAATTTTACAGCCCACCAGCGGCCGAGCTTAAAAGTCGCTGAACACTGGTGGTTCCAACTTGAGTTCGATTCCAGAGGAACGTGCTAGTTGCATGGGCGTTTTTGTGGTTTTCCCCATGTGTAACGTGTATGCGAGCCAATTTTCCTTAGAAAGTCTTTCACGAAGGCATCTCTCCCCTCAAGCAGATAGCCTTAGTGTGTTCTGCTGTAATCCCAATAAACCAAACCAAACCAAACCTGAAATTCATGATTGTTCCGTGAAACTGATAGAAGTAAATGATCTGAGCATGAAACTTAATATAAGGCATGATACATAATGGCAAAAGTATTAATTTTCGTAATACAATCTTTCGTCGAAAACCAAGTAGAAATAAATGTTTGTGACATGCCGGATATCTTCCAAAGCGTACGCTAATCACTCAGTCGTCACTGTGATATGTTTATTGCAATTGATAGTCGTTCATTTAAATAATTCTTGTAAATATCGAGCATTATTACATTACCTGTGATTAGAATGATTTCCCGTTTTCTGTGCTCTTCCTACTTACTCTGTATCCGCTTTAACCTTTCACATTCCATCAAGAACTGCGTACGAAGTACTGTATAACTACTGCAATACCAATACACTGCTGTATTATGAAACTGCCTTTCACTTTACAAAAGTCATAGCAGTTTTTCTTGTAGTTAATAACATATTACTTTTCTTTTCTGAGAAAATGATAGTTAAGTTAGCAATTAACTAGATAGCTCTAGAAAAACACCTTGTAAATTCATTTTAATTTCGTTGCACAAACTAACATTTTTGCATAACGTAATGAAGAAAAAGTGCACAGCCATTAACAAATAATTAGGGGTTATATATGTATATTTATATCTACATTACTATACTTACATATACAGTCTTGATAACCGGGCAAAGATGGAAATGTCGAATAACATGGAGCTACTGGGGATTAGTTAATAAAGTATGAGCCATCTTGGCACAATACGAAATAGACATAATTACTGAAATCAGAATGCAATTTTACATTATTAAGTCCTCAGCAGTGAAGTTATTCATCAGGCAATAGAGATTAAGCCCGTTAACCCGTTATAATACACGGGGTAGATTATAATAAAAAAAAAAAAAAAAAAAAAAAGTATCTATTATCATGGATATTAAAAAAAAAATAAAACACATTTAAAAAAGTGATAAGTTTCAAGAACTTGCTTCGCAAAAAAAAAAAAAAAAAAAAAAAAAAAAAAAAAAAAAAAAAAAAAAAAAAAAAAAAAAAAAAACTAGTCAAGGCTGGTGTTCTAAGCACTATGGCTCACTTAGATGCAATACGAATAATATAAATTGAAGAATATTAATGTATTATTACTGAAAATATCAGTATTAATAATAATAGTAAATGTTATTCTTCATTATTATCGCTAAAAATATTATTATAATATTTTTAATAATAATAATATTTTATTAATTAATTTACATGCTCATTAGTTTAGGTCGAATACAACAGAATCCAGATAACCAAAACTATGATAATCTGAGATCTACTGTATATACAACTCCTTTTATCAAAAATAAATTTAGTTGCTTTTTAAATTACTATTTGAAAAATCCTTTTCTTTAAAACATAATTTCGAAGCTTATAAAAATTTTGGGCAAATAAACATGCTCACATATGTACATGTATATATGTAATATGCAGATATAAATTCGGCTGATATTTCTTCTCTTCTGAATATTTTAAAAATTAAATCAAGTTATCTGCGGTGACATTTTGCATAATGGAGGAAGCGAAAGAGAGAATATCTTTTCAAGAGGCTGTTTTCAAACTCCCCGTATGCTTATTATAGTTCGCCGCAGAGGGCGCCCTCGGCTCTTCTAGATCAATAGTACCGCAACGAGCCGTGAGGGCTGCAGGTTGGATCAACAGAGTTAAACTTCATGCAAGGCACAATGGGAGACAGCCACGGAGCATCAAAAACAGATATAGGAGCTGGTCCCGCTGCTGATGGTGATATTCGTTTTGCCGGTGAGACGAGTCGCTCAAAAATATACGAAGAAAAAAAACAAAATAAGAAGCTTGTCCGATTACTTACAGTTCTAGCATATGTGTTCTCCGTTTCCTTGGCAGCCATTGTGCTTTCTTTGTATTACGTATTTTTGTGGAATCCCAATATGCAAAGAAGCAACAGCAGTGAAAATACCCAACCGGCTTTCCAATATAATCAAGCTTCCACGTCCACACCTTTGCCAATGGCACGTAACACTATACCCGTTGACAGTAAACTGAACAAGGTATACTTCCTAAGCAATCGAAGAGCGGACCACCATCTTCCGTAAAATCCTTCAAGGTCACTGCTGCCTTCGATTGCAGTAAAAACAATCCCCCATGTCTTCTTTGACAAATCGCAACGATTAACTATTCTGAGAAAGGCTGCATTTCGATCTGCGCCAACGATTAAGCAAATAAAGATGATTACGTGCAGTAATTAAGAAAGCTATGATACATTAAGGGAAAACAGAATGACAATTAACGTACCCTTATGGATGGAATCTGACAGTATTATTTCCCTATAAGAAGAAAGTATTAGAAAGAACATAATGAAAAAATCTACAGTATTCTTCTCTATTATGGTAACTACTGTGTTTGTGAATTCAAAGAATGCATAGGGGGGGGTCAAATTATCATAACTGTACACCATACATTTCACATATGTCTTTCAAGAAATGAAAGGGTAAAAGTATATTTTATATGCTTTTAATTTAAAAACTTTTCATGCCAAAATCTATGTGATAAGTAATTTGTAGCTTAATGTTTTCAGCGTTTACTGAATGATGTAGAGATTGAATCTCAAAATACTTTATGCGTTTCATTGCTATTAAGTATATGAGCATAGAGAATACCCCACATCGTACAAATATTTGCTATCTAATGAATAGCATATGTATATTATATTTTATAAATTTTACGTAGATGTGATGTTTACACAGTATAATCTGAACTTGAATTTTTAACTTTTTCCTTTTGCAAATGAATAGTTTCTGCTAAATGTAAAAATACTAATAAAATAAACATCAATTAATATATTTAAATAAGAGTAATGAGTAACTTAAAATTTAGCACTAGTATTTGATGTGTGTATGTATTCGTTTTCTGCTAATGAATTAACTATTGTGGTGAAACAAATGTAAATTGTGAAGTAATGTGTTTATTGTATAAGCTGTTTGTTCGCAAATCTCTGAATGGTATATGTAAATTAAGTGTTTGAATGTCACATGAATTTATTATATATCTATATATATATATATATATAAAAAAAAACCTGCAATTTTATTCAACACTAGAAAAGTTACTAAGGTATTAATGCAATTTAATTGAAGCTGTTAAAAGAAAATTTTATTATTTGTAAATAATAATTAATAATATTAATATTGAATGAGGATATGTGAAAGAATCGTTCAGTCTTAAAAGATGAATTTAAAGAGATATATTTTTTATCGAAATAGAGCTAACATACTGTTGAGTAAACAGCTCCCTGAATGCAAAAATTATTTAACTCCGTACTGTCATAGAAATTCTTCGTTATATCATGGGAATTAAAAATATAGTTTAAGTAATCTAATAATTATATGTAATTTATATCTAATAATTTATATGTAAGTGTTGTCACTTCTGATAAGGATTTTTTTCTTATATGTAATTTAGGGTGTTGGTGTTGGTGTATTTAATTATGGCAAAGCACACGAGGGCTATCTGCCTGAGGGGAGGGATGCCTTTCGTGGAGGACTTTCTAAGGGAAACTGGCTCGTATACACGTTACACATGGGGAAAACCACGAAAACGCCCATGCAGCCAGCCCGTTCGCGGGATTCGAACCTCGGACCGAACTACCAGTGTTCAGCGACTTTACCGCTCGGCCGCTGGTGGGCCTATATGTAATTTAGTCACTTCTGATAAGGATTTTTTTTTTCTTATATGTAATTTAGTCACTTCTGATAAGGATTTTTTTCGTTCAAATTGTACCATGATTTCATGTTTTGTTTGAAAAATGTATTTTGTAATCTACAGAAAATCAGAGATTATTTAATATAACTTTTTTGTCAGTAATTGAAATCAAAATGTGAAAATTATGTGTTATTTCAAAGCAAGATTGTAAAGTAGTTGCCTAGATATACATATACTGCCAAAAATAAGGGAAATGTTTTAGAGCTTATATGACGATTTAATTCCTAAAGCAACTTTTGAAAAAAAAAAAAAACTGTTATGAATGATCATTGAATTTTTTGTGATATTGATGGTAGATGATTTCAAAGTATTTTCTATTGTATGAAAATTTGACAAATCGCAGTTAAGCGTTCATCTTTAAGGAATTTGGATGTTTACATTCAGATTATGAAACACAGGTATCTAAAATGATAATTTCTAAGCTTCAGTAAGATGGAAGCATTTGTATAAAAGTAAGCTAGATCTTGGAAAGAAAAGTTATGTTAATCCTTTCCAAGATTTAGTATACTTTTTTTTTTCACAAGCCGTGATCAATATTAGAAATTATTAAAGCAGATTTCTCTATAGTAATGAACTAAAGGTGTTGAATAGCTTCTGTTCGTTTAGAACAAAGTAAATTATTGTAACTGCTATCAGAAATGTGAGAAAATGAAATACATATGTAACATAAACTTTCTGTTAATGTTAGTAATGGACACATATCCGTAATTAATGTATTTATGTTCCAATCTTTTTCATATAATTATCAATTAAAACTTTTAGATTGTGTTACCAAGGCTGAATGTGTTTATACCCATTATTCTCAAGGCAATCTTTTCTTGATACATAACAAAGCAGGAGATCAGAGTAAAATTATTTTGTTACTGATATGTTTTCTTTCAGAGTAAGGATTACTTCCACTTGAGTTTTAACTATTAAACAACGATTTACAAATGGGAAAAATAAATTTATCTCATCCATTTTGGCTATTAATGCTCATTGTGGCCATGAACATGTTAAACAAAAATGTCATATAGTGTAAAGTAGAGACTAGAATTCGAATAACAGACTTAGGTACTAAACAGCTGTAATGCAAGATGAATTAAAATTTGCTTCAAGTGAATTATCAGTCCTCGCTACTTTCGCCGATGCATGATAGTTAATATTTTTCTACTAAAAAAGTAATTTCAACGTAAAATGATACTAAAGAGTTTTGGTCTAATTTAGGTACATTTTAACAGCTTCTTTTAAGATCTGATTATTCTCTAAAACAGAAGAAATAAGCTCCATCGGGAATAAAAGGTAAGTAATTCTAGTAAAGAGCTAAAATTAGAGTTTTAGAAGGAAGTATACAAAAGAACGTTCATATTGCACATTACCTAATTGATGTGTTTTGCAACTAGTAAATGAATATTTGGTATTTATTACTTACGTTTCTATTTCATTTCAGTAATATCTATTTTGTTGAAAGGCAGAAACATTTTATCAGTTTGCATAAGATTCATTAAAAATATTTGCAATGAAATACCAGCTTCATGTGAAAGCAAACACAAAACAGACATCCGCAATACAAACATGACTTTAGAGGAGGTAAAAAACCTTTAAGAATATTAAAAAAAAAAAAAAAAATTATACATAAACAACCTATTCACATATTACACATTGAATGAATGATGATTTTATGATTTTTACAATTATATCCTTGCATTAATATTTATTATTATTATTATTTATGTATAAAACCCTTTGCATCAGATGCTTAAAAATTAACTGCAATGGAATGTGAGTTGTAGATCAAAGCAAATACAAAATATATATTTATTATCTAAGCCCAGTTTTAAGTTTCGTATTCATATTTCCTGAAAAAAGAACAGATATAAGCAAGATTTTGTGAAATATTAAGCATATAATTTATTATAATGATAATAAAATCATGTAAATTCTATATAATCACTGTAAGAGCGCATTCTATTAGCTGTATTCAAGAAAATGCAATAGAACTTTGAAGAACGTTCCAGCAACGATCGATTTTTTCCGCATGTGTCGTTCGCTAGTTTTGATTCCAAATGAAGCTCTAGTTTAATAACTTTACGTAATCCTGCATTTATAGTTGCGCGAATTATCGCTTCCTCGCATTAATTGCTTATAAATCCCGTTCCTTTCAGAAGCATTTCCTGAATGGAGGGTTTGAAAAAAAAAAGTTGAAGTAAAGCACGTATTTGCCTTATTTGCTGGAGTACATTTCCCCTTTGCTTTGTAGGGCAAGGATCGTAAATTAAAATATATATATATATATTCTCG